CGTTTTCGCTTGACGTTGTCATAAGTGACCCACTTTTCATCACCAGTCATCATCCGCTTCAGAAATAGGTTGATTTTGTTGCGATTCAGCAGCGATTCGCAGATAGAAATTCGGTACATGAGGTTTTTTTGCGTTAACTCGTATGGCACCCATACATCGAGCTTCTTTTTGTATCCAGCCTTATTCAAGTGGTTCCAAACGGTTTTTTGTGCAATGTTTAGCTCCTGGGCAATCGAAACAGTGCTTACATGACGGTCGGACTCGACGATTTCCATTATTTTATCGACATTTTCGACAATTGGCCTTCCAGAGCGTGATACATCTTTGACATCAAAATTACCGGAACGGAATCGACGAAACCAAAATTGCGCGTGATTGGCTGTTACAGTATCAGAATCATAAACACTATTCACATTTTCAGCCTGGCTTGCGTTTTCGCCTTTATCGAAGAAAAACTGTAAAATATGGCGTATTTTCTCTTTGCTGGTGTCCATCTTTGACGCGCGCTCAAACAATACTGAGTCAAGCAATCACAAAACAGTCTGAGAAGTTTTTTTAATACGAAATCTTATCTTTCTAACGCTATCTAGCGTAATCCGATCGCACTTATACAATGCGAGATCCAAATTACTAAAGCCATCTATTGGAAAAATAATGGATTTCTTTTTACTACACCTATTATGTTATTTATTATTAAAATCGTTTCGAAGATGCGAATAAGCATAAATAATTTGTTAAATTGCTAATCAATTTAACTCGTGACATTACTGCGTTAGCTTAATAGAGTTAGCGTTTCAAAACCGAAAAATCATTTTGACGCGCGTTTCTGGAAACTACATACGTAATATATAAATTCACAAGAATCATGTAAGCATTAAGATCCAGCTGGACCGTTTCAAGGCTTTGATTTCTATAGTTTGTGTTGTCACATTTACGGTCCTATAATATATTATATATTAAATAAGTGATTATTTTATATTAATTTATTTGAAATGTAATATATTAATTACTAATTAACTTTGATATAATGAATACATTACAATGATTCGTTAAAGAAGTTGGAAATTAATTTTATTTTTCAATTATTAATAAAATATATTTTGTATTAATTATGAATAATTGCACTAACGTATACATTTTTGCGAACAGATTATTTGAACATACAGATTACATTGACAATTATTTCGCTAATTATGTATTCTAATAAATTACAATAATTAATATTTATAAATGATATTTATACAGTGTAATAAATTGGTGAGGAAATATTAGAATTAATCGTATAATATCTTCTTTTGTGATATATTCTTCCACCAAAAAAATCACGTTTGAATAAAAGATGACGGATATAGACATATAGAATGAATGATAAAAACTCAATTTTTTAAATATAAGTACATTATGTATTTATTTATATAGAATTACATTACGATGCATGGACTGATTGTTCAGTACATAAACAAAATATTTATTTGTTCTATATCTTTCTAACTAAGTTACTTTTATTCAGTAACTTATTAGTAAGTAACTATTAGTAAGTAACTATCAGTGAATCGCAATGAAACTTTGCATAAATTATTTTATGTGAATATTTGAAGTACTTATAAAATGTAAATTCCTTTATCATTAAAAAAATTTTAATTTTTAACAATAAAACTAATAACGAAAAATGTAAAAAACAATTGTGATTATAACTTCAAAAATATGAAAAAAAGAGCATAAAGAACCACAGCACAAATTGTATTATAGTTTGTGATATTTAATTATTCTTGCATTATAAATTACAATAAAAATATTAAACGTTTCGGCCACAATCTGGTCATCTTCAGTAAAATTAATAATATTCTTAAGACGCAGAGTTACATCAAGTTGGAATAAAATTCAACCGTCGTGTGTTATAATTGTAAAAATCGTGTTTGCATCTACGCTGCTTCGTATAATAATGTTAGAACGTCAGAAGTCATATAGTGAAAAGTGTAGAACGAGAATTTCTAGATTCTAATTTACAATAATATATTTTATTATTAATATCTTTTAAACGGAGTATAAAACAAAAGAAACATTACCTGTTTTACAGCAAAAATAAATCGATGAATCTCAAGTATAATCATTGCACAAATAGAAATTTGTCGTGACATTATGTATTGTTATTGGTCGTATCACATATTTTTCCGCTATTTATATTCATGAGCCAAATAGTTTAGAAAGTTCTAGAACTATTTATTAAGTGCGAGAGTGAATTCATTAAACACGTCGAACATAATTTATTTAAAGCTGACGAGGAAATTTGTAAATCGGTCAGAAATGAAACATTCCACATTCTCAAGTCAATTAATAATTGTGATACGGAATTGGCTGAAAATAAAATTATACAGGAAGGTGTAAGAGAGGTTAAACGATTCATCTCAGAGAATCCTGAGATTCTAATCACGAAAATAGACAAGAGAAACACCACGGTAATTATGAATCGTGAAAATTATCGGAAGAAAATGTATGAAATTCTTAATGATCAGACTACATATAAATTAATGAATAAAGATCCTACTAATAAAATAAATTTAGAGATTAGAAACTTATTAAAAAATTGGAAAAACAAGGGGTACATTGACCCAAGCATATACAAAAAATTTATGTATCTGATAGTGAACTTCCGAGATCTTATGGACTGCCAAAAATTCATAAAGAAGGCCATCCACTAAGATTAATTGTTAGTTGCATTAACAGCGCCTTTTATCCACTGGCGACCTTCTTAAAAGAAATTATCGATAATAGTAATAATAATAATTTTAGTTATGTAAAAAATAGTCATGATTTGGTTGACAAACTTAATGGAAAGGTAATCGAAAGAAATTTTAATATCATATCATTTGACGTGGTCTCCATGTACACTAACATCCCTACGGATTTAGTATTAAAAAGCATTGAATGTAGATGGAACTGGATTGAAAATAAGACTTTGATTCCTTTACATGAGTTTGTTAAAGCAGTTATGATCATAATTAACTCCACGTTTTTCAGATTTGATAAAAAAATTTTTAAGCAGATTTTTGGCATGTCAATGGGCTCTCCTCTATCGCCTATACTAGCGAATATAGTCTTACAAGACTTAGAACAAGAAATTTTCACTACAAATAATATCATCTCTCCATTTTATTTGCGTTATGTTGATGACATTGTGTTAGCCATACATGAAGAAAAGGTTAAAGAGGTTCTAGATTTATTTAATTCATACCACGATAGACTTAGATTTACGGTTGATTTTGGCGATGAAAACGGTATTAATTTTCTGGACGTTAAATTAATGATTCAAGAAGGAAGCATTATCTTAGATATGTATAAAAAACTTACCAATTCGAGGAGATATTTAAATTATTTTTCGAATCATCCATTAGCACATAAAAAAGGAGTAATCATTGGGCAGCTTGATAGAATTTTACTGTTGTCCCATCCCAAATTTCATGAAAAGAACATTTCGGAATTAATTCAATTATTTATATAATTTATAATTATTATAATATTATTATTATTATTATATTTTTCAGTTTAATTGGGGAACTTTTGATGATTTAAATCAGTTAAATAGTAACAAATGATTATAATTAGTTATTTTAATCTCAGCGCTCTAGTAGTGCAATTATTGTGTTAGTCGACACAAATCAGACAAATATCCAGTATTGTTTTATATCGTCGTGTTGTTTCCTGTAGTGAATTCGAACAAAATGGTATGTATCATGACTGATGAAAAAAACGTCTTCTCTTTCCGCCGTCAATATAATTTTGAGAAAAATGCATAGAAATTTGAAAGTTATAGCAATAACATTTGAATTTTTCTGTTACCTACACATTACTTTGTAAGTACCTTATAGATTATGAGTGCATGATACGCCCAAATCATCCATCATTTATCCTTGTTTACATTCGATGAATAATACGGAAAAATAATACATTAAACATAAAATGAAATGCCCCAATAATTAACAAAAAGACATGTTTAATTGAGATATTCTGCGAGTAGTTAACAAGAAAAATTTATCCACACACATAATTAACTACTAATTCTGCCATATTTAACAAGATACAATTATAAATGCCGTTTAAGATACAATAAAAATGATATTATTTCATAGTAGCATAAAATTAAAAATGCGGGATTATACGAAAGCGTTGAAAATATATGTATAGTAACACAAATTTTAAAACAATCATTACTGTAATATTGATAAATGGAATGAAATATTAACAATAAATTGTATTTACTTTTAATTGTTAACTTGGAATTATAAAATTTATTAAATTTACATAAAAAATTTAACAAATTTACTTTGTGATATGCTGGTTAGCATCCAATACAAAGACGAGTAATTTTTATAACGGAAAGCGGATTTAATGTATACTGATTCTACATAAAATTCAAAGATCCACAAAGAAAACTATCCGTCAAATTACAACAGTCTTTACAGGAGGATGTGCAAGGTTATGTTGTTGACAGATGTCCAACCTTACGATATAATGTTTTATATCAGACAATTTTAACCATAGCTTGCTAGTGGCGCAGTCTTTTGTCAAACGGCGGAAACTTATTTGTACACTTAATATTTTAACACATTGCTAAAAATCATCTTGTATGAAAAATGAATGAATAAAATAATTTTTTATGGAATAGAGGTTACGAAAGGATACTTATATTTAATAATAATAAAATATATGCGTTATTGTAATTTTTTATATACTTGTATATAGGTACAAAAGTGTCTCGTACCGATCGCTCGAGATGATCCAAACCCGAGAATAATGGTATTTTAAAGAATTATTTTAATACTTGACAATTTATTATATGTTTAAAATTTAACAATTTCCTATTTGTCGTTTGTTTCAAAAATTTTAATGATTAATTCCGCTATATATACATATCTATTTGATTTACCTCGAATCTTTATATTCACATATTTTTAATTAATTCATGTATTTGTGATAACATTGTTAAAAGAATATAAAGCATTTTTTTTTTTTGACAAAATTATTTAAGTCGACAAAAATCAAAATTTATTAAATACGATTTCATATATATATGTATTTTACTATAGAAAAGAATATATATTGTATATATATATTTTTATAAAATCATAAAAGGTAAGCAAATTATTTGTACAAAATTTACATCTATTTATTTAACAATTTCGATTTGAACTAATCATTAGATATAATCTGTATCTATATTTGAAATAATCATTATATCTATTAGGTATTGGAATTAATTCGTAGCGTTTTTTAATGAAAGAATGTTATTTATTTCACATGAGCATTAAAAAATACATTAATGAAAGTACTTCCCATCACTTGTAAAACGCTACGAATTAATTCCAACACCTAATATATCTGAGGAGCAGACTTTCAAATTGCGTTTTGTCCTTTGTAATTTTCAAAAAATGGGAAAGAAAGAAACTGTACACACAAGAAAAATACATACTTTATGAAAAATAACAATATGCCAATCAGTAAGATGTAAAATATTGAATAAAATTGCTAAATAATTGCTAAAAATGTTAGCAAATGAACAAATGCATTTTGTTCATTTCTATAAATCAAAAATCATTATTTGCACTTTGAAATGTCTATATTTTCTCAGCATATAAATTAACGATGAAGAAATGCTTTTTGAATATTTTAGAGTAGCTATTGTGAGTCTTTCACAGTCTTTCAGTGACACTGAACACTATGTCATATCTAACTAAAAAAATGAAATATTGACAAAATGCATTTTGAAATTTTGCTCTTCATTTATCGTATAATATTATAATAATAATTTTAATATAATTTTATCATCATTAAGACACACACACACACAATTCTGTTACCTGCATTATTACTATAATAAGAAAACATAATTAGTAAAGATAAGAAAGCGATGAAATCAATGTTAAAACATGCTAATATAAGTTAACACAGAAAGTTGTTGTGTATATATTTTAATCATGATGTGATACTAATTTATTACTCACAAAAGTTTCGATTCTTGGTTCGGATTCTCTTCACTATGTAAATTCCTCCACAAGTAATCATCTACAATATATTATAAAACGTACCAGGTGAATCACTTGAATTTATTATTTGATGTTTTAAATTTTGATTAAGCGATGTTATAAAGATAGATTTAAATTTATTTAGTGTATTGATTTCATCTCTGCAATTTGCAAGTGACTTGCTCTCAATGGAAGATTTTTTGCTACTATATACTGAAAATAACTTCAAAGTGAGTAAAGAGTAAAGATTTAGGAGATGCATATGATAATCAGATATTAATAATTTAAACATTTTTATTTATTTGTCGAATGTTTCGTAATATCTGATTATTATCTGCATCTCCTAAATATTCGCTCTTATATCTGCATTTGACTCTCATTAGTCCTTTTCTGAATTTTATTGTATTAAGAATAAAAATAGAAAATAATAATTGTGCGAGAATGCACCGCGCGGAAAGATTCGAGTGAGAGAACGGCACAAGGTTGATATGATGCACGACAGTAAAATCAACTCCGTTTCTTTTAATTTAACAAAAGAATTTCTTTAATGTATTCAGTTACAAAGTCAAAAGATATAATTAATTAGAATTAGATTAACAAAATATTAAAAGCGGTCACCTTTTCCAAATTGAGTTTGGAATCGCGGTGATGGAAAATCTCGGCGATTTTTCTCGACGCTTCTCGAAAGTTTCGGTTTATAGCGATTTCACTAAACGATTAGCACGGCGATTTTACGAAGCGAGATTACGACTCTAAGAACTCTAAGAACTTTTTTGGAAGTAAGAAGGAGGACGGCGAGATCGAGGCATTTATTGCTTTCGATCTGAGCTTTCCCTTTTGGGAAAAATCCAATAAAATTTTGCCACAATCGTGATTATTACGTGGCATTAGGTGTACAAAATTGATTGGCGCTTTGGATTCGTTTCTAGCGACGTTCAACGTAACAGTCATGCGCGGCAGAAAATCCGTGCGTGGGAAAGAACGACGAATTTGATGATTTTAACGAAGATTAAAATCATGTTTGAGATGAAATCACGAGCTCAATTTGTGCATGCGTTCAATGACAATTAACGTCGATCGACTGAAAGAATTCTTGCTTTCCTTTCGAATTACCGATCTCAAACAATAATAAAATGAAATTTAACTATCACGTTTTATGTTCACACTAATAAATTACTCGTATATTTGTTATAAGAATAATTGAAGACGTGGTTGGCATAGTTTTCACAATTTTGGCATTAGATTATTTAAGAAATAAATTATTATGATTAAAATATATCCTTATGATAGAGAGAACCTTTCTCTACATTTTTATGTCATTAATGATTCTATACACTGTATAGTTCCTTCGCAATAAATGAAATGTTGACATGCTGCATAGTTAATTGCCCCGATATGTGGATTAAATTGATACATATCACAATATGAATTGCCTCTATGATAAATCCTATATTAAATTAACAAAAACGTAATAGAAACGTAATAGAAAAATAATAGAAATAAAAATGAAATAATAGATATGTATTATGTAGATATGTATAATATAATAGCAGATACTTCTTATAAAAAATTGTCTTTAAAAGTTATTTTGTAATGATCAAATAGCAAATTCTATTGTTACAAAAAAATAAGTATAAATTATTCAATTTTATCTTCTTTTTATATAGAAATATTAAACGTATTGTTTACTACAAAAAACTTTTCTTTTAACTAATAATACATCGCTTATTCGATTTGTTTTTTTAAGCTGAAGAACATTAATACGAAATTACGAAATGCTTAAAAATTTTCTTGCCTGCTCTTGAATCAGAATTTTTTCTTTATCTATGTAATATTTATTTGATTTAAATGAAACTTCGGAAGAAATATCTATGTTGTAAAAGAAATATTTTGCAGTAACTTTTGCAGTAACTTTTTGTTTCTTTTATTATAAATAGAACGTAATGCCAATTTGTCTCTTATGCCAACGAGCCCCGGTCTCTTCACTTTACAAAGAATATATTGTGCACATAATTTCAATATATAAAATATTTTATCAAAATTATTAGTTTCAACTCAAGTTGACACGTGTCGCTAAAAGCCATGCAAGTAGAATGCATTGATGCAATAACAGAAAGATACATTTGATCAACAAGACATTCTGCGGGTATAGTTAACGAGAAAAATTTATTCTCTATCAGAGAATCTTCTCTTTTCTCCGTAAAAAGAATAGTCGGTACGCTTCTATTCTGTGGATGTATTACAGACACGAACCACATTTACTTTCGACGATACGATTTTATCGACAGATCAGAAAATGTATGTAATCAAACAGTTCCCAAACCAAAAATGGATGTACTGGCAGTAGTGTGCGAGCAATTTTAATGTCACTAGATTTATAAAGTATCGATTTATAAAGTATCTCATTTATTTTGACGCGAAACGCGACCACTTCAAATTTATATATTCGTATTTTATTTGAGAAAATAAAACCGGTATGTCAAGCATATAAATCAAGTATTTAAATCAATGTTTTTTAATTGTAATTAAAGTTTATTTATAAATAAATAATATGTACAAATGCTTAATTTATGCTTTAGTTTAATACGAGTTTATTAATACAAGTCTATGTCTTCATATTATTATTTTATTTCCTAGAAATAACATTGCGTCTTGAGATTTTTTCAGTTTCTTTGTTTATGAAGTTACAAAGGCAAGTACAGAATCGATTTTGTAGTTTAATTTTTAATAAAACATAATAAAATAATTTGCACCTCAACTATATAGTGCAGATTAAGTAAGATATTAGAGTATAAACTTTTTCTTCACTCTTTTAAAAAACTTTGCTGCAAATGCGCTTTTAGATGACTTTCCTGATTATGAATATTGTAATTACAGTAACTTTCTTAATACTTTAATTATAATTTCAGCATAAAGAAGTTTATCTTCGACAGAGTTCATTAAATAGTCTCCCTTGTCGTCCAGTTCCTGTTATAATTATTATAATTATAGTTTTAAGCATAATAAAAATATATAATTATATTATAATATAATATATTAATATAGGTATATATGATTATATGTATATATATATATATACATAATTATTATTACTTTTGTTACTATTATTATTATTATACAACTATTGTTATTATTTTTAAAATACTATCCTGTCATAGAGCTCTAGGTATATACAATTTAATTTAGGCCCATTGTAAAATTTATTTTAAATCTGATCTGTCAACTCTTAAGAAAATTATATCAGCAAAAAAGGAAAACAAAGAAAATTTATTGAAGAACTTAAAAGATATATTGAATATTTTAGATCGAAAATATCACGAAGAAACATGTGGATAAGTTTCTGGACATAGAAAATCTCAAAGCTGGTGTCTGATAATGATTATCCTGCAAATATTTCTGGAAAAATATCTAAATGGATAGATGACAGATACAAAGTTATCGATTACCAATCATGGATACATCGAACGATCCAGAGTTTAAGGATATAAATATGGTACTCAGAGATGTTGAAGATCTCTTTAGTGTTCATCATCAGACAATAGAAGAGCAAATGAAGGAATTAGATGTTTCAGAGGCAAGTCATAAAAATCGAAACTTTTTTGTGTAAAAAATTCGCTCGCTGATATTTATGATATATAATGAATGGTTAAAAATGTTCAAGCTCGCAAATATAATTTGTTATCGTTTTTTGTCAATATGTGTTCTTCAGTTTACATTATAAATTAATGAAATTCTTATTATATTTAACTTAAGAACACAATCTTTTAAATATTAGAATATATTAAGTATTTCTATACAAGCCTATTCATTCTTGAAGTAATTAGTATAAACTGGTATAATAAATTGTAGTGAAATAAGAAAAATTTGTTTTATTTCAACTTATTGCACCAGAACTTTCTTCGATGAAGATCCGGCTTTATTTGTTCTTTATGATAATTTGGTATTAAAATACATTGTATGAAAAATAATAAATTGTATGTAAACATGAAAATATTCAAATTCAGCAAGAACAAAGTTAAACATAAAGCTAGTATGATATTTAAAATTTGAAAATGAAAGTTGATGAGGAACAGAACTTTAGCACAATAGTAGGTCTGTCCGCGTTGCTTGCTCTTTATGCGATCAGTATTATAGTTAATATATATATATATATATGTTGTAATAAAGAAAAGTACTTCATATATTAAATATGAGTGCAGAGATAAATAAAAGACAAGGCAAAAATAAAATAGTCTTTTAATAGTTCGCAAAAATAAAATAGTCCGATTTTAATTGTAATTAATTAAGAAATTATTTGAAAAGTTTTCTTTAGTGCAAAAATTTAGTGCTTAAAGAAATAGTGCATACAATTCAAGAGTTTTCAAATAAATTTTAGGATATGAACGAATCATTTATTCATTAAGTTATAATTGTTTCCGTAGACATAATTTCAAAACAACTTTTTATTTTATTGTAAAAAATTATATTTATATAATTGTATTTGTATAATCATTTGTATATATAAATATTATTGAACATCAAGACCAACTTTGATCAAAAATAATTTGCTTCTTATTGAGATGAAATGGGCAAAAAATGGCATTTTTTACTGTTTTTAATCTTTTATAGCAAAACGAAATCTTGTTTCTAAATAAAGTTTATCTGATCTAAAAGTATAATGACAAAAAAATGTTATTTTTCGTTCATTTTATCCCCACATTTACACAAAATCTTGACAAACTATGCAAATTCTATCAACAACATTGTGTTCAGCGCAAAAGATCTTTGGAATATGTATTATAATATATTTCGAAAGTATTTGAATGTTGAAGAAAGTTATTGTTCTAGAATTTCATATAGAATTAAGTGGAATCTAACACATTCAAAACATAAAATAACAAGTCATCATAAAAATAGCTTGAGTTTTTTATTTCTTTAATCGCTTGGTCCATTTGGAACAAAATTTGTAATGTATGCTTTTTATAATACATATTAGCACTTTTTTTTATTTGTTTTGTAAATGTAAATTGCAAGGTAAAATGAGAACAGACCAATTATTCGCGCAAGTAATTTAAACTTTGAACTGTTCAAATCTAAAACTTTTGAAGTTTTAATTTCTATAGCAATTTTCAGACATTTGTTTTTATAATATTTATATTGTAATTTGAA